CTTTCTCAGCCTGTCTTCATAAGGGAGGTGCTCCAGCCCCCTTATCATCCTCGTGACCCTCCTCTGGACTTGCTCCAACAGCTCCGTGTCCCTTTTATGTTGAGGACACCAGAACTGGACACAATACTCCAAGGGAGGTCTCACCAGAGCAGCACAGAGTAGAGGGGCAGGATCACCTCCTTTGACCTGCTGGTCACGTTTCTTTTGATGCAGCCCCGCACACAGCTGGTTTCTGGGCTGCAAGCGCACACTGAAGCCAAGTCAAGTTCAGTTTTGCATTGACCAACACCCCCAAGTCCTTCTCCACAGGGCTGCTTTGAATCACTTCTCCACCCAACCTGTAGCTGTGCCTGGAATTGCCCCAACCCAGGTGTAGGACCTTGCACTTGGCTTGGTTGAACTTCATGAGGTTGGCACTGGCCACCTCTCAAGTGTGTCAAGGTCCCTCTGGATCCCATCCCTTCCCTCCAGAGTATAAACTGCACCACACAGCTTAGTGACATCAGCAAGGCCAGGCTTACTCCTGGGGTTGGGGTGCCTCAGTGTCTCATGGCTTTCACCTGGAGACAGCAGTGGCATCGATCCAGGGGATCCCGTTGCCGTGAGGATGATAACAGCACTCAGAGGTGAGGGGCTGGTGCCTGCTGGAGGCAGTGCCTGTGCTAGCCGGGGGCTGTGTCCACGTCACCTCATTCTGCTGCCAGACACCTTCAATAAGGCTCTGGCTCCATCCTCTCCCTGCCTTCCGTGGGGCACTGGGGACAGCTCAGGGATGACGTGGTACGGCTGGCTCTTGTTGGGGCTGCCCGGCCCTAGTCCTCCTGGCCTCTGCTCACAGAGCCCATGTCCATCCCCTGGCCAGCTCAGCACTGCTGCACTGAACTCACTCCAGTGCCCTGCTGTCATCCTGGCACTGGGGAGCCCACGATGGACCCAGTCTCCTAGAATGGTCTTCCCAGTGTTGCAGTGAGGGGACGACTCCCTCCCCTCATCCCATTGAGTGCCCTCTTGCCAGTACAGACCAGCACAGGCTGGGAGTGCAAGGAAAGGCTGGGGAGATCCTCAGCCCTCCCTGCTGCAAAGCCCTGCAGCCTGCAAAGCCGTGTCTTTATTTTCCTCCAGTTTTCTGGCAAAGCCGGGGTTTCCAGGCCAGACCTGCGAGTCCTGAGAACGGAGACAGGGACACGGGGACTGCCCATGCAGCCGCCGCCACCTTTGCAGCCTTTGGGACTTCTCTGCTAAAGCAGCTGCAAGACTATGAGGTGAGAGGGGAGGTGGAAGGGGGGTACTTGAGGGCTCCTGTCAATGCCCCTGGCTTCTCTGGGTGCCACAGCAAAGGGGCATCTTGCCTGGTGGCACCTCTGCCCTCATGCCCTCGTCCACAGGCACCAATCCTGCTGCTCAGGCCACACTAATGCCACTGCTCCCTGCTCCTTTCCCCAGGTGCTGGCAGCACTCTGCTGGGCAACGCAAAGCCTCTGCCACAAACGCCAGCATCTCTCCAGTGCCTTTGCCCAAGTGCCCGAGGCCCCTCCTTAGCTTGGGTTTGGGAAGCAGCCCAGACCTGTGGCTTCTACGTGTGCGAGGACCAGAGCTGTGTCCCAAGGTGCAGGGTGCTCATGGCTTCCCCTCCTCAGGGCATGGTCTCATTCCCATGCCTTACCCTTTGTCATGGTCCCTTTTGTGAAATACGTCCATCTGATCCGTGTCAATATGGAGCAATGCTAGGGCCACATGATAAAATGTCTATCTCACAAATCCTTGTATCACTACAAACCTAAAAA